AATATGTCTTGTTTACCCAGGGTAGCCTCATCAGTATTTATACTGTTCTCCCTAAGGGCCCTGCAATCGCAATTATGTACATAAGAGATAGGAGACTACAAACTTGTGATTGATTTGGATCAGTCGTAAATCTTTGTAAGACGGGGCCCAGAAATGCAGTAAACAGTGGATGAATATTCATCCAGAGCTTATATCATTTTATTTTGCCTTGATGTTTTATTTCATGTTGTGGGAACAAGGTTTCGATCTATAGACGCACTAGAAATGGGTTCAATGTTTTCAAGGGGCTGGTTGAGTGCTGAAGGGTTGTTACAATCCATTTCTGTGCAAATATCAACAAGCTTTGAAGAAGGATGAGCAACTTGAAAGGAACACTTGAAACAAAGAATGTTGGTTATTCCAAATTAATCAAAGATCCAAGAGGTAGTAATCTGAAAAAGAAATTACTTTCATCCAATCAATCCAAGCATTTATGTGTTCATCCACATTTTTGTTATGAATTGAGAATTGTTATTTGGATTATTTGTGTATCCTTCTGAGAAAACAGCGTCAGGAATTCTAAAACTAATTTTGTACCTTTACATGTTATCATGAAGGATAAGTAACCCATATTATTGAAAAATAATCCAATACTCCTTAAATTATTCTTCAGTCAGTAGGTAACAATATTTTAGGTGCAGGACAAACTCTGAATATCGAAAACATCTAATTTGAGCACTATTGAGCTTTTAAAAAAATGTCTTCTCCTGTTGGATTTTTGCAAATTTCCATAATATCTATTTTCAAAGTAAAAAAGACACCTCATGAAAAGTATCAAGAAACTCATCATTATTTAATAATCTTAATAGAGCAATGGTTTTATTCTGGAATGTGTTTGTTGTACATGCATATTTTCTTTTTGCGAAATGCAATATGAAACATGATCTTCTCCCTTTCCACAGGCAACGTTATAATTTCATTTAAAAAAAAAATAAAAAAAAAATAAAAAAAATTGGCAGGCTCTTTCATCTTGTAGAAAAAAGAAATTCTTAAATTGTTACTCCAAAATACAAGAGTCAAATGCATCATGATGTAAATTTACTTATCTCTGTTTTTTTACAATATTCCAAACCCAAGTGACACATATTAAAGTTTTCTGAGATCATTAGTTTAATGGGTTAACAAACTAAACTCACTGCAAGCAGCTATTTGCCTCCAAACACTTACAATATTTGCTCTTTTAAATGGATGGAACTTCCTGCTGGCACTTTTAAGCCCCAGTGAAAGTGCGTCATCCAGTTAATGTATTCAAACCTTTTTGCAAAACCCCAAATGCCATTACCCATTAGATTATTGTCATAACCTGTTGAATATTGCAGGTCTATAGTGTGGTCTCTCTTTAATGGATAATAAATGCACTCTGTTGAAAAATATGCTAAAGAATTCCCTAAAGTGTACTATAGTTTGTGCAATTTACCATATTTCTAAGAGCGGACACAATTGTATTTGGTATATTTATCTGAAAGTGCAGAGAACTGTGAATTTCGATCTGCTGCATAATATATTTTAATTGGAAGTTTTCTTATAATTTAAAGGCTGCTGTACTAGTTTGGCTAGGAGAGATTAGACCACCCAGGGTGGTCACTGACAGGTGGCTATCTCATCAACTCAGCTCTCAATTAAAAATAAGAAAAAGAGGATAATGGGGGACCAATGGTCATCGATTAGGCATTGTTTTCTATATAGAGGGAGCAAGTAGCTATAAGTACATGTAGTGCAGTGGGGCTGAGTGCAGAAAACTGAGAATTTTGAGCTGCAGCATAATATATTTTAATTGGAGGTTTTCTTATAATTTAATACTTTTATTGTCAAGTAAAAGACCTGTGATCATACATATGCACTTTATATTATTTCTTTACTCATTGGAGCCAGGAGGCGTTAAATTGTATACTTTTATACACAGGTAATGCCCCTCTGGCTCCGCAAACAGAAGAGCTGCTAGGGGATATTATAAAATGAATGTTTTTAGTTTAAATATGGGAAGTCCAACATGATATTAATCTGGTTTGAATAGAAGCAGAAAAATGAGAGGATTTAGTCAGTGAAGTTTGATTAAAATTTAAAAGAAATTAATGAATTATTGAATGTGCGATCAATCAAACACAAATTGGCAGCTCTTGCGAGCTCCCCTTCCAATTGCTCTGTACTACAAATTCTGAAATTTCTATGTTTATTCTAAAGACAATTTCAGTCAAACATGTACGTGCTCGCTAAATATAATTGGTGCAAATATGTTTTTATACAACCTCCGTATACAGAAAATCTAATTTCAGTCATTATCTAAGAAAGTGAGAGTTTCAGAATTGTATTTTTTTCTGCTTCTTCTTGGTACTGCAATCACTTTCACTTCTTGATATTTTAATTATTGTAGGAGCAGCTTCTACTACTAGTGTAGATGTTTGAATTTTGGATGTTGATTTGGTTTTGAATGATTCATTTTTGTTCAGTATTTTCCAAGTATCCATGATGAAGTACCATTCATTTTATCGGTATATCAATTGGTATTCAATCCTCTCTATCAATACTTAGCTATGCACTACCCACGCAAATATAAGAACTCCAAATTGAGGCTAAGTTTTCATGCTTGATTTAAACTCTTACTGTGGATTACCTTTTTAAATAGTCATCATAAACAAACTTTCAGGTACTAAAATTTTGACTTAAATGCTTGTTTCATCATATTTGGTTAAAATAGAGAATAACCTTCCCAGTGATACTACCCTTGTATATATATATATATTATATACATGTATATATATATATATATATATATATATATACATGTATATACCGGTATTTAAAAGTGCGAGAGTTCTCAACTCTGTCATGACATGTATACAATGCATTATATCTTGCTATCACTCAAATGGATCTAAGAAATGGGATGAGAAGTTTATGCATATGGACTAAAACTTCATTGGCTCTAAAGTACAGAAAAGAGTAAAATCATACGTTAGCTGCACTCTATTATAATAGACGGTATGTACAAAAGAAACGTACTATACATACATCATTGATAAGTCTTGTATTACAAGTCAATTATCAATTACATGTATGCTGAAGGGTCTTACCCTCTTACTATTCTGCATGGGAATGAGAAAGTGTCATTAGCGAAATTGCTGCTACATATAATCAGCTCAAAATGCCTGATTGCTGTGTAACAAAGACCCCGCTCTCACTCACTTTGAAAGTGGTCTTAGTTAGACCGCTCCAGAGGAACGGGTCTTGAGGAACGGTTTGCGAGCGTACACACTCCGAGCAGTTTTTAATGGCTCAAACCGCTCCACGAGTCAAAGTGGTCTTGTTGCTATGGCAGCTCAGGTCAGCAGATTAATTTTTTCGCGCGCGGAATACATACCGTATGTACCGTACTACATGTTTCGCACCGAAGGTCACTAGCTCACTTCCGTTCAAAGTACGCTTTCCGTTCACATCGCACGTTAGAGCGCTCCAAACCGCTCTTAATAAGACCCGCTCCTCAAGACCACCTCGGAAGGTGGTCTTCTGGAGCGGTCCAGAAGTCCACTTCCTGGACCACTTTGACCGTTCTCACTCACCTAAGAACCGCTCCTGAGGAACGGGTCTTAGTTAGAGTGCTCCAGAGCGCTCCAACGAAGTGAGTGAGAACGGGGTCAAAGATGCATTATGTCTCGAGTCTATTGTTATCAGGTTTGACAATTTGATTCCATGTCACTCATCCAACATGTTTCAGTAAAGCACGCACAATACCTTCCAACACATAATTACGGGGAAAATGTTTTGCAAAGTTTAACGTGATTAGATGTATTGTAAGGCCTTCTGCATGAACATGCTTTTGACAGGATATACAATGAGTTTGTTGCCTTGAATTTTCATGATGACAAATTGCAATACCCTGTTTTCCTATAATGTCTTCCTTCTACCCTTCTGAGTAATGACAATATGCAATTTCCTCTGTTTTTCCTCTATCTAACCAAGTTGAAATAACTGATTTGAAATTAATGCTAAAAGCTCACTTTGGAGGTTGTAATTATAATTTGAGTAGCAGGCTTGTCATTTTTGGTATTGTCTGCCTTTTTGTTGGAGGTGATTATAGAAATGCACTTACATGTAACATAATATTTTTATGCCTCCGCCAACTGAAGGTGATGCAGGAGGCATCACGTTTTTTTGGTTGTCCGTCGACGACGTCTCACTTTCCTGTTATCAAGAACCACTTGAGATATGAACTTCAAGCTTGATGATAGTATATATCACCATAGGAAGACAATCTGATTTGATTTTGAAGTAACTAGGTCAAAGGTCACAAAGATCATATTATGAAATTCCAGCTATTAGTCTTGTTATATCAAGAACGACTTGAGATACGAGGCTAAAACTTGGTGATAGTACATGTATGTATCCCCTTGTAAAAAAAAACCATGGTTTTACCATCATAACCATGGTAATACCATGGTTCACCCATGGTTTTACAATGGATCGACTGTTTTCAGGATCCAACCGTGAGTATCCATGGTTTTACCAACATAACCATGGTTAAACAATGGTTAAACCATGGTTTTACCACTGTTAATAAACCATGGTTTAAAAACTATGGTTAAACCGTGGTTAAACCACAGTTATTACACCACGGTTTCAAAACCATGGTTAAACCATAGTTTTACAGCAGTTCAAAAACCATGGTAACAAAACCATAAATAAACCATGGTTTAACCATGGTACTAAAACCATAGTAATGAAACCATAGTTAAACCATTGTATTACAATGGTTAAAAAACTATGGTTAAGAAACCATGGTTAAACAACAGTATTGCCAACGTTGAAAAACCACTGTTATTTAACCATGGTTATACCATGGTTTTAAAATGGTTCAAAAACCATAGTTTTTTAACCGTGGCAATATCATGGTTTAACCGTGGGTTCTTAACAATGGTTTTTTAACCATGGTTAAACCATTGAATAACCATTGTTAAAAAACCATGGTTAAGAAACCATGGTTAAACAACGATATTGCCAACGTTGAAAAACCACTGTTATTGAACCATGGTTATACCATGGTTTTACAATAGTTCAAAACCCATAGTTTTTTAACCGTGGCAATATCATGGTTTAACCGTGGGTTCTTAACGATGGTTTTTTAACCATGGTTTAACCATTGAATAACCATCGTTAAAAAACCATGGTTAAGAAACCATGCTTAAAACCATGGTTTTACCACGGTACAAAAATCATGGTAACAAAACCATGGTTGAACCATTGGATAACCATTGCTAAAAAACCATGGTTAAGAAACCATGATGTAACCATGGTTTTACCATGGTTGAAAAACCACGGCTATTGAACCATGGATGAAACCATGGTTTTACCACGGTACAAAAACCACGGCTATTGAACCATTGTTGAACCATTGGATAACCATTGCTAAAAAACCATGGTTAAGAAACCATGGTGAAACCATGGTTTTGCCATGGTCGAAAACCACTGTAACTAAACCATGGTTAAAAACCATGGTTTTACCACAGTTGAAAAACCATGGCTATTGAACCGTGGATGAAACCATGGTTTTACCACGGTTGAAAAACCACGGCTATGAAACCATGGTTTAACCATAGTTTTACAACTGTACAAAAAACTAGGTAACGAAACCATTTTTAAAAGTTCTACCAAGATACAAAAACCATGGTAAAGAAATCATGTGCAAACCATGGTTTTGCCATGGTTGTAAACCATGGTAACGAAACTATAGTTAAAATGATGGTTTTACCGAGGTTGACAAACTACGGTTACGAAACCATAGTTAAACCATGGTTTTAGAATTGTTCTGATACCATAGTTATAAAAACATGGTTAAACCATGGTTTTACCACAAATCAAACAACGGTCTGACCGTAGTTAACTACACTTTTGACATGGTCTCAACACGAGTATTAAAAAAAATTAAAAAAAACTACTATCATGTAACCAATGTAGTTATGACCACTATATACATAATACATGTATGACCAGCACTACTCGATTGTTTTGATGACCTTGAACTGATTCGATAATATGGAATTGTAACAATTTGCCCCAAAATAAATACAATTATTAGTGTGTTTGCTGCCATCTAGTGGTGGAATGCACACTGTATTTCCAATTTTGAATTTCTTCACTCCAGCCATTACTTTGCCGTTTCGCCAAATTTGTCTTCCTTTAAAACCCAGAATATAGGGGATAAGGGTTAGATTTACACCAGGAAAGAAGAATTGTACGAGACTAAGAGTATTCCAGAGCAAGAATTGGACAACATGAAGAACTCGAAGTAGATCTAGATTTCAATTTACCAGACAGTCACACTGGTCTACATACTACAGTACAGTCCCACACAGCCACTCATGTGTGGGAAAATATCGGTCTGCAGAAAACGACCAACTTTGCTTTGCTGCTGGAGCTATACTTTAAGGTCAACATTTTCTCCAGGAGGTGAGTAATAAGATTAAACATAATTTAAGGCTTGATACAGAATTGGGTATGCTTTCTGTAAAAATTAAGAAATTTGGTTATAAATCTCATTCTTCTTTTTGATTTTTTGTAAATTTTGTTCATGAAAAAAAACCAAACGGATTGCAATTGATGATGATAGTAGATTTACTAGATTATATTCCATACTGTACAATACTGCATCCATGAAAGTAACGTACTCCATGGAGCTCCGACGCCGATGCCAAAGGCATCGAAGCTCATGCAGATGTGGCCCGTTTATGAAAACGATTCAAACAGCGGCTGAGCGGGTTTGGTCACATGTTTTCGCAAAGTAAATACTGAAAAAGAGGTAGTCTAATTACAACTTTGACTAGACTTAACAATGTTTTTTTTTACTCCTTTGGGCATCTTTCCAACCACTTGAAATCATAATATGAAGAAGTCTCGTGGGGGAAAAAGGGTGATTCTTTGTGCTAACCCGACGATTCATCCATGTTCGTTGATTTAACATGGCGAGGAGAAAGTACGCATGCGCGGTCACGGCGGAGCAAATATTAATATTCATGATAGGAGGGGGGTTTTCGGCCACTTAAGACAAAATCCTATTTTAGGACTCTTTACTTCCTATTATCATTTCTTGTTCAAATCATGAAGCAAATATTATTATTCAAACAAACAAAGAATCCCAGAAAAAAAATCATGAATTGCCATGACAATATCCATTTCAATTTTCACTGTTTCGGAGACAGTTATCGACCTAGCGAGACAGTTTTCGGTCGTATGTACAAAGTCAATAGGAAGCGCGCCCGCGTCGTGCGTTTCCCCGCTGATCTATAGTACTAGCGGGCGGAGCAGGTATCCCGAGCCGGAGCTCGCCATGCCGAAGACTAGTTCTGCGGTGATCGGAAATTGGAATCTGAATTGGACAGAGATATCGTGTGTGCGTTGCGGTGTTCGGCTGCATTGATTTAATACATGCGATGAGATACTTTTTAGCTTGGGACTCACACAAAATCGGGCTCTAAATATGAAAAATACTTGAAATAAAGCTCATTTTATGGTACCCATATTTCTTACAGACATGCGTAAGATACTCGATTTTTCAGATTCGGGTAGCGGGACCGCTGATTACATCGCTAAAATGTGATATTTTAGGATATATTTTCCATTGCAAATGTGGTTCTTCAGTGACTCTGGCATGGTATGGCATGTGTGGAATATGTGATATGCTATCATGGGATGTATTTTAAAGGAATTTTACTATGCATCCAAAGGACCGGCCGAAAACTGGTGATGGTCGATTACCCCCTCCTTTACTCTAGGCGCCGTTTGTCTAAATTGCTGTATAGGCCTATATAAGAGGTTGAGAAGGGCTTTGTTTCTTCGATTCATGCATAGAGACTATTCAGCAATTTCGAGTAAACAGCGCTGTTTGAATCACTTTCATAAACGGGCTCTGAGCACGTTCGTGTACCCCAAATCTCTGGTAAAGGGGTACTTTAACGCAACAAAGTCTGGCCCATATTGACTTAAATAGGTTGTTTAAAAAATCTGGCCCGTATTAAAATTACACACAGGAGATAGGGGGTGCTTTCAAAGGGGGAGGTACATTTGTAGAGTGTACATGTTGCTAATATCAACTCATAATTTTCGCTATATTTGATTTGAGAGCATATAATACAATTCTACAATGTGCTAATATTTATTTTTATTTTTCAGGGTATCTTCGGCTGCGGGAAAGTCGTCAACATGGACTGTTCCAGTGAACATGCAGTCTTGATTTGTAAGACTAAACTGTCCAACAAACTTCACGGAAATTATGCAAGACATGGGTGAGAGTTTGAGAATTCATCTGTATGGGATCCCTATAGAGGAGAGCTTTTCAAAATTATACCAGTTATGCTGACCAGCAAACATTCAGCAAGTACATCCAGTACAATCGACCCTGTCACCTTTGTTCGGTCGGAAGGAATCTGAGAAAGTAATCTTCAATACACAGCTTTTTTTCGAGCAAAACTTTTAAATTTGCCGCACAGATGTGACGTATACGCCTCTGTCTGTGTTGTGAGGACCCTACGTCACAAAAAATGTCGCGCAATGCATTGTGAGAGGAACCGGCTCGATCATTCACTTGTTTTTTGCTCATTAAAGCCTTACTGCACTCCTTTTAGCTACTTGCTCCCTCTATATAGAAAACTTCCCCAATCGGTGCCTGTTGGTTCCCCATGATCCTCTATTTCTTATGTTATTTGAGAGCCGAGTTGATGAGATAGCCACCTGTCAGTGATCTCACCGTGTGGTCTAATCCCTTCTTGCCAAACTAGTACAGATGGCCTTTAAAGACCGTCAATACTACTGGGCCAGAAGGGATTTGACCACACAGCGAGGTCACTGACAGGTGGCTATCTCATTAACTCAGCTCTCAACTAACATAAGAAAAAGAGGATCATGGGGGATCAACAGGCACCGATTGGGGAAGTTTTCTATATAGAGGGAGCAAGTAGCTACAAGTAGGACAGTGGGGCTTTAAACAAAATTATTAAAAATAAGTCTGAGCACCATTTTCCAAAACCAAGTTATTTTGGGGCTGTACAGATCTTTGTCTATCTAATCGACTCAACTTTTCAGTGGAGTGGACTTGTACTTTAACACTTATTAAAGTAAGGCTGTGCATAACCGTGTAATGAAGTACTCGAGTACACTCCCAGGCTTACAGTCGAATACTCGGACGCCATGTTTTTTTTGGTTGAATTTTGTTGATATTTTTTGTTGTTGAAGTGAACTTCTCTATGTATAGTAAAATTATACCTTTACCTTCACGCGTATAATTCATCAATACAAAATTTTAAAGAATTCTTTTTTAGAATATTTATTTTTGTCATGACATCTCATCAAAACTTTCCAGATAGCCTTGCTACTGGTATGACGCAGCACTTTATAGTCATTATTAAGCTGTTCAATAATGGTTCACATTTATCTGCCAGTTTTACCAGTATTTTATCAGCAAAAATATAAAAATGCTTGTTTTCGTGTTAGGAATATCTTTCATTCAGATTAGATTTACATTATAATAATTTGGTTTACACAACTGATATGTACATGTATACATGTATAAGCCCAAAAATTTGCCAGCGTTTGAGACTTTCCATCTATTTAGATATTCATGTTTAGAGAGAAGGTTGAGTTCTGGGAAGAGGTGAAAAAAAATTGTGAGCTTTATCATTGTATTATGTAAGTGTGGCAGTACATCAGATAAAAATGTGCCCTGAAAAGCATGGATCTTCAATCAAATGCCTTAATATTCTAAACATGGCATGTAAAATTATATATTGAGGTTCGATTTTTACGCCACATGTTCATGTAGTCCCATATTCACATCTTTCTGTGTACAGTGCTTGTAACCTTACCAAGACTAGACCAAATTTCTTATAATTTTGATGATTCCAGAACCTTGCAGTACACACCAATACTTTTATATGCTAGATGATCAACCTGTCCTGATCGATTCCACAACGTTTCTTTCACAATGCAATCGCATGACCAGAACTTGACTTTATTTTTAAGCTGTTCAATATTGGTTCACATATATCTACCAGTTTCACCAGTTTTAAATGACATTGTTTATTGTGCTCTTCAAACAAAAGCTGATGGAAGACCAAAGAAGATTGTTTTCATGTTACAATTTTTTTTCTTCTATTAAATGTGAAAATATCGAGTTACTTACTCATCCGTTCACTTGCCGATGCCAACAATTTTGCTAAAATGTATTCACTTAGTGTAATCTTTCATTGTGTGCTGAAACTAGCTTGTGTTCAAGAAAATATGTATTTGCTATAATTACTTTGTAATTAAGAGTACCGGTAGTAAGATTCCACTTGCCTGGTTAAAATGTCATCTTAAGTAAGTTTCCTCTTTACCATCGGATGACTTAGTTATGTTACATTCTTTTATATGTAACCTAGCTAAAATAGTCTAATTTTGTTCAAAATATGAGATTCAGGATTTTGGTATTTCCTAATGAGGGTATCTTAAACCCTCTGCGTAATTTTAAGCGTCGGAAATCATGTGTACATGTATGTAAATATGATATTTGTTTTAATCAAATGAAAATGATAATTTTACAGCATTTCAATAGAAGCTGTTCTTTGTAGTGGCCCATTTTCTCCCTGACTTTGACTTTAAATCTGCTTCAGCAATGTTCTAAATCTTGGGTGCTCGTTTTGAGAGGGTTTACTTATTTGAAAAATTATGCACCATTTTAAGATATTGACTTCTACTTTAATGTCATGTGAAAATCAGCACAATCCTTTTTTTGACCTATTGGTCATTTTGTGGTGTAAGGTCACATATGACATTGTCCAGTATCGTTTTGTAACAAATGATTGTAACACAGTAACCCAAAAAAATTATATAAGTTTTCAAATGAACACATTGTTAATAGTTCCAAAAGTTGAACAAGATGGGCCATATTTCCTCTTTTACAATTGTTATACCTGCTAGTAAGGGTTTCAGGGTACATCCTATATTTATTGTTACTCAGGTTTAAAGTCTTTTTGGGAGGGGTGGGTGGCTTTTAGAATAGAAGTGGTTGAAATAAAAGGCTTTTAATTCTGATCCTTAGGCCATTTTGTTCAATTATTCAAGGAGATGGTCTTGTTATTGTGTGTAGGGAGGGATATGGGTGTATAGGTGTGAAAAGGCATTTTATAAACATATGTCCATATTGATCCAGTTATTTGCAAGATGTTCATTACCATTTGTAAGTTTGTTATGTTTGTCTCATTAAGTCAGTGTTAATTACAATTTTTTTCCCCTCTCAAACAGTACATTTCAATTTCAATTGAAGAAATATAGTTATAGGTTTTTTGTATCAAACAATTGCTGGAATTATAGAGTTAAAATAGAGACCATCTGAAATGCATTACAATAAAGGGTACAAACAAGAAGGGGAAGAACTTGTTTTGACTGACTAGCCAAATACCTATAATTGGGATACAACTTGTTACCTTTCAAACAAATCAAATGTTTGCAGTTGGTAAAATTATCTTTGTATATTTGTGTGATTTTTTGGGGTCATGCCCTCTTTACAGTTTTTATTATTACAATATATGCAATAGGACCTCAACTCAGGAAAAAAAAAATCTTGCATACTCAGATACCTTGCCATATTTGTTCTTATTACTGACAGCTTTATGGTGTTGTGGTCAGTGTAATGGTACTCTTAATTGAAATATTTTAGTCTTTCCTTTTTATTCCTCATTAGCCTATACCTCATACATATAAGCTTGCTAAGTGTGTGCTGTTTACAAACAGTTTACTAATTAACTTTTTATGTGTACCGGTAAGACAGTTTATTACAAATATTTATTTGAACATGCATAAAGTCTTGCCACTTTACGTCTAAAGACTAGGATGTTTAAACACATTTACATGTATTACTCTAAAACGTGTGTGACATATATTTTATTAAAAGTATTCATCTTTTTCAACACAATTTTTCATTTCTTTTGGCAGGTCATTCATTGTGTCTCCCATCACTGATATCAAACATATATTATGTATTTCTTACACATTTAAAATAGCTTCTCTTTTCTATAAATGATTTACATTTCAGAAGTTTCACCTTGGATTCACCATGGTTTGTACCTAAAAGCCATGGTGAAATTATGGTTAAACGACGGAGAAAACATGGTAATACCATTGTTTGACTGTACCGTGGATCCATTGTAGTACCATGTTATCAAGGTGGTAATACCATGGTGAAACTGTAATACTATGGTGTACTGTAATACCATGGTGAAACCATGGTTAAACCATGGTTTTACTGTACCGTGGATCCATTGTAAACCATGAAATAACAGGAGTAAATTGGAACAGACATATTATGGTAAAACCATGGTTTTACTGTAGTTTTACCATGGTTTTGCCGTGGTCATACCATGGTGAAACCAAGGTGAAACCATGGCTTTACTGTACCATGGATCCATTGTAAACCATGAAATAACAGGAGTAAATTGGAACAGACATATTATGGTAAAACCATGGTTTTACTGTAGTTTCACCATGGTTTTGCCGTGGTCATACCATGGTGAAACCAAGGTGAAACCATGGTTAAACCATGGTTTTACTTTGCGGTACTTTGCGGTTTAACCGTGGTAAAACCATGGTTTTACTGTACCATGGATCCATTGTAAACCATGAAATAACAGGAGTAAATTGGAACAGACATATTATGGTAAAACCATGGTTTTACTGTAGTTTTACCATGGTTTTGCCGTGGTCATACCATGGTGAAACCAAGGTGAAACCATGGTGAAACCATGGTTAAACCATGGTTTTACTTTGCGGTACTTTGCGGTACTTTGCGGTTTTACCGTGGTAACACCTTGGTTTTACCATGGAAAAACCACAGTTTAACCATGGAAAATCCATGGAAAATCCATGGTAAAACCATAATATGTCTGTTCCAATTTACTCCTGTTATTTCATGGTTTACAATGGATCCATGGTACGGTAAAACCATGGTTTTACCGTACCATGGATCCATGGTTTTTTTTTACAAGGGTCACCATAGGAATTTGATCTTATAAGATTTGGGGTAAATAGGTCAAAGGTCGCAGAGGTCAATTTCTGAAATTACAGGTTTAGACTTAAAGGGATCCGGTAACTTTGTCTCAGATTCTGAAACAAAATTCTGGATTTAGCTCATGATGCAATGATAATTATAAACCTTTAGGTCAGTCAGGAACCCCATGACTTTTACAAGCCGATCGCTTGTCTGATTATCAAGATATTTATGATTGGAATTACAAATTTTGATAACCGTTCGCCTAACGGTTTTCATAACACTACAGTCTATTGGGGAAAAAGAGTATGGTAAAACCGGTCACTCAAAGATTTTTACTTTTTTGAGGCACTTCTTGACAAGCCTTTTATTAACCGGGCGCCGGGCGATTTTTACCCTACGGTCCCTGACTTTTGGCGCCCGGTAAGACGGGGAAAATGAGTACCGGGCGCCGTTCATTTTTTATTTCTGGCGCCCGGTCTGGGAGAATTAACATTTTCTGTTTCATAAACTTCCACATGTCTAGCACTAAATGTTCACAAATGTGACAAAAACTTACTTGATACAAGTTAAACGTGGACAGAATGAACCCTAACAAATCATTATAATGAGAATCCTAATTAAAATCGCCCAGAAACAATTGCCCAGAAACAATTGCAGCACGAATACGAGCGGCCGCTATTTCCTACTCCTAGCGGAGAACGGAGCACACAATACATGGGATGTACACCACTCAAAGACGAGCGCATTTCCCCAGCCCAGGCCATGCATACACACACAAATGACATCAGTGCTGTACTGCAGTACACACACAGTGTTAGTACAAGAAAGTCTCGATGTAACTTCCAAAAATCCATCCCAAAAGCCAAATTTTGCTGTCAAAAATGCGGAATTGGAGCCATATTTCCAAAGCTCACGGGGGTTAAGCCCAGTTTTAAGAAACAGTTTCATCAAAATAGCGCTAAAAATCAAGAAATCAGCGATTTTGTTACCAGTTTTTTGGCCTATCGCATGCCCTTCGAATGTAATGGTATCTTCAAAAAGGCAAATGAAAATCAAAACACCGGATCTGCTGATGCATTAACTTTATGTACAAAGTTGATTGCAACTCCAGACTTGCCTTGATTCAGCGGCCCTCGTACTCATTGACTAAAATTCTGTGATGTTTTGAATAATGGACTTTTCTGATAAAATAGGTAAATATATTTAACAAATCTTTTTTTAAAAATTTTCTAATTATTATTATTATTATTATTATTTTTTTTTTAAGTGACAGGTCGGCCGTTCTCAATGATTGAATGCGTTTTTATTCAAAGAAACATGAATGCAATAGCATTTTATAGGGAAAATAACAAAAACGTAAAACAGGCATAATCTTTTTTTTTCACCTAAAATATGTTTTTTCAAGCTGAATAATATGTTTTTTTGAAAGCGACAGGTTGGAAGCTCTGCATTGTCATTATAGATCTGGTTTTTCTTAAATATTTTTTTATAGAAATAATTTAATTCCCCCCTTCCCAACATTTTTAAATTTTTGACATTTAACGGCATGAAAATAGTATTAAACATGAACTACAACAACTACAAATGACAGATTTATCTAAGGTATGAGTGATTTAATATTAGAGTGCTCAAAATTTAAACTAGAAATTAAACTACCGTATGTATAAATAAAAGGTAACGTTTAACAAATAATTTAAAAGAATACGGTACATATTTTCATCAATTTTGGAAACGGCTCCTGGTCCTGGAAAACGGCTCCCGGTTCTCTAAAAAAAATAAGGACCGGGAGCCGCTTTTTCAGATATTTGGCTCCCGGTCTGCTTCGACTTAATAAAAGGCTTGCTTCTTGATCATTTTGAAGCGCAATTTTTTTAGGGCTTCCATATTACACCAATAATCACAGACACTGATAACGCGTAGGGCCGTGTATCTCAGATTTAACATTGTTAAACAATCCCTTTAATTGCTATTGAGATATCTCAAGAGCCACTAGAGATATGAGGCTAAAACGTGGTGATAGTACGTTTCACCATAGGAAGACAGTCTCATTAGATTTAAAGTAATTAGGTCAAAGGACACAGAGGTCAATTTCTGAAATTGCAGGGTTTTTAGCCTTGCTTTCCCAATAATCGCAAAATAGCCTGCTATTTAATTGTCTGGTCCGTCTTCACCAGCCTGTAGACTCATACTATATGCGCCAACACTGAGCAAAATATCTTGAGCTGATGACAACGCGATTAACTTCGGGCTAATTTGGAAAACTCAAGCTGATGAAGTCAGACCTATTACTATAGGAAGATGATTCAATTACATTTTGGGGCTAGTAGGTCAAGATCATAGTCGTCAGTTGACATTTGATTATAGGCTCTTTGTTTTCATAGTGATACGTCACAGATAATTCCATCCATTTCCTATATAGGGCAGAGGCATATATAGGAGACGCAGTCGCATTTGTCTCGTTACGATATATTTGATGGTGTAAAATTTCCACATATGTGTATACACATGTACATACCAATACATATGGCTTCTCTCTCCTCTCCCCTCTCCCTTCCTCTCTCTCTCTCTCTTCCTCTCTCTCTTTCTTCCTCTCTCTCTCTCTCTTCCTCTCTCTCTCTCTCTTCTCTTTCTCTCTCCCTCCCTCTCTCTCATTCTGTCTTGTGTACCCCTCTGTTCCGCTGTCAAAGCCTTATCTGTATCTCCTTTTCTTTCATGTTTATACTTACGCTTTTACAGGTGTTCATGAATATTACTTTTTCTTCATGAGATCTTATAAGTGTATTTGTTTTGACATTTCAATCTTTGGATGTATTGCATTTGTTCTTGCAACAAATGCTCGGCGTCAATTTCCTGCACTTACCTAATTCTTGACTTCGACCCTGGACCATGCAGCACTAGACCAAACCCTAACCCTAAACCTAACCTAGCCTAAAACCCAATAGTAACCCGGCGTATCCCTAACCCTATCCCTATACCTTTTATAAAATAAAACCTTGAAAAAAATTTGTCACAGGATGAATTGGTGGGTAACCCAATCATAACATTTGGCCTACATCACAATGCTTGTCTATCTCTCTTTTACTCCCTCCTCCTCCCTCTCTCTCTCTGTTTCTCTTTCTCTCGTTCTGCCTGTGTATCTTTCTGACCCTCAAAATTTCCATATTCTGTTTCCTCGCTCACTTTCTCTCCTCCTTTCTCTTCAATCCTTTTTCCTCCTCTTAAGTTCTTTTGTTCTCTCTCTCTCACACACATTCTTTCTTTTTTCATTTTCCTTCTACTTCTCTCCCCACCCTCTCTCTCTCTCCCCTCTCTCTCTCACCCCACTCTCTCCCTCTCTCTATCTTTCTCCCTCTCCCTCTCTCTCCCTCTCCCTCCCTCTCTCTTCCTCTCCCTTCCTCTCCCCTCTCTATCTCCCCCCTCTTCCCTCTCCTCTCTCTCTCTCTCTCTCTCTCTCTCTCTCTTTCTCTTCCCTCTCCCTCTCTCTCTCTCTCTCTCTCTCTCTCTCATTCTTTCTCTTCCTTCTCATTTTCCTCCCAACCCTCTCCTCACCCTATTTACCTCTCTTTTTCCTCTTTTTCTCTCTCTCCTTGTTCCTGTCCTTTTCTATTTTAGAGATCTCCCAAAAAAAATTGATGATGTTCAAGGTAATGTGTACGTTGAGGAGGCCTATTTTCCAAGTGCCTGTTTTGGAATTAGTCATCATGTAATGACTTGTAAATCCTCTGAAGGTGATTGATAATGAATTTGAAGACCAAGAGTGTTTTTACAGCGTCTTTCAGGGCTCTTTCGCCCTGAGGAAAAATCGTTTAAAGAAACGTGCAACAGGCGCATAGGAAGAGAAGGTCATGTTCACTTGACAAGTTAAATATGCTTGAGTGGTTGTAGGAACATTGCCAAAAGCTTGGCTGTACTATTGTTCACACAAACTTTATGAAAGAATTTTATCAAGCTATATTCACTGATCATGTCTATGAAATGTTCAGTGTGATTTTGTTTTTGTTTTTGTGGGAGAGGGGTCATTTGATTAGCTTTCCTGAGTTAGATGCAACGAAATCCCCAAAATGAATATTGCATGTGAATAATTTTGTGTGGTTAGCTGTCTGTCTGTCTGTATGTTTGTTAATGACTCACTCTTCGGTAAACAGGTGTAATCGATTATGATTTGAAAAAGAGCAGTAGATATATCATTTTACCATATTCAGCACTTCGGAGACTGTGTGATTTGGAAAATAGAGATGAAACAATATTTTATGTGGCTAATCTAGCTGTACAAACTCTCACTACAATTTTTCTGGCCCTGAGCGTGATACAAGAATATATTGCTTGAGCTATGAAATATTGGACGAGTCAAAGACAAGTCTCATATTGTCTTAGCGAGAGTAATATAATCTTGTATCACACAAAAATAAAGCCATACAATATTATTATTATTATTATCTATATTAGTCTGAC